GGTGGTGCTGTGGCTTAAACCACAGAGCCTAGGACTTGCCAATCGGAAGGTCAGCGGTTCGAATGCCTGTGACGGGGTGAGCTCCCGTTGCTCAGTCCCTGCTCCTGCCAACCTAGCAGTTCAAAAGCACGTCAAAGTGCAAGTAGATAAATAGGTGCCGCTCTGGTGGGAAGGTAAACGGCGTTTCCGTGCGCTGCTCTGGTTTGCCAGAAGCGGCTTAGTCATGCTGGCCACATGACCCGGAAGCTGTACGCCGGCTCCCTCGGCCAATAAAGCAAGATGAGCGCCGCAACCCCAGAGTCGGTCACAACTGGACCTAATGGTCAGGGGTCCCTACTTACCTAAGGAAGAGGCATGACCAGACTTCAAGGACCCATTCCAGTCGGGCAAATACACTAAAGGAGGGTGTGAGGCAGGGTCAATGAAGAGTGTGGCCTGGGCAGTCTCAAGGGGCAAATAGAGAGGCCTGCCCCCTCCCGCAGATTTAGCCCCTGGGCCAAAGGCTCCCCACCTTTGATTCTAGTGGGGATGGGGGGGTGGAACCTGGTGCTCTCTGGCTATTGTTGGACAACAACTCCCACCAGCCCTAAGCATTGGCCATGCTGGCTGCTGGGAGTCCAATAGCATTTCTAGGACCACAAATGCCTCATCCCCAAGCTAGTAGATCTTTAATGAAAAGAATGTCACAGTTTTGGGTGTTCAGGTTTTTTGCCTTTCAAGGTTTGCAGCTCAGATCATAAACAAATTTGGTTGTGCGAGAGGTGGAGAAAGGCTAAGGGAAGGCAAGACTGCCTCCACCCTTTTCAAAGCCTGTAAATTGAATGCAATCGGTTTTGTTAACAGCTCACCAATTGCTCCCTGCAAATCAGTCCAAAGCCTGCTGTCTCTGAGGAGGTGTGAAGGGAGCTTCTTCCCCAGGGATTTGGGGGCCATGTCACTTTCTTGTGTGAAAAGAGATTGATTTCCTATGTCTTAGCCAATGTAGGGCTAAGAAAACTCTGGGAAGTGGAGGTAGGAGCGTCCCCCACCCAGACTAAGGAATGTACCATCCAAGATAGAACCAGGTAGGGATGGGGGAGGGAGAAGTTTGATTCAATTCACATTTAAAGCTGAATCTACCTAATCCACACTTTCCAGAACAATATGAGAACCAAAACACAACCGTCCTTCAAAATCTGCCCTGCTCCAAATTTTCCAATGAAGTTATAGAGTCTGGTAATGTGTGCAAAAATGCATTTGATAGGATAAAGTGTGCACATAGCGGTGAAAATAGCTCACAAAGGTGAATTATATTTGGAGAAGTTGCTTTGCGTAAACACGTGTATTAAGAGAAATTCACACTAAAATGCAGACAAATTTTCATTGAATCTCAAACTGATGAAGGAATTTGGAGAACTGAATTTAATATAAGGAAATTGGGCAGATGAGAGAAAGTGTCATTGATAAGATTTGCCCAGCTCTTAGACCTGGAGTACTCTGCTGGGGTTTTCAGCTGCAGGATTTAATTTGACTCAGGATCTATGATTAGTGCAAGGGCTCGGCTCCATAAAGGGCAGGTTGGATAAAAATCAATGATTATTTTTTTAAAGGATTTTTTTAAAAAATTAAATTGGATTTTTAAAATAAAATGCTTTTGTAGGAGAAATCTTTCTAAAGATAGTTTTCTATTTAAGTTACATTATAGTCCAAAGGCTATTCATCAGGAAATAAGGATTTAAGTATTTCATGTGTGGTAAAACCCAGTCTGTTGTTTTTTTAAAAAAAATTGTTTAACCACATGCGTTAGCAAACATGGATACATATGCGATAATGTTACTGTTTTAGTAAAATAAATGGTTTAAATTGTTATTAAGGAAGTGGTTATTTTTCTCCTTCCAATAAAGTACAGCAGAAAAGTTGTCCAAATATAAACAGTTAACTTATTAAACCTCACAATAATTTCATAATCACCTATGTATTTCTAATAGTATAATCAAATCAGTAATTTTTGATATAACTGTAAAAACTACTCTAAAAATTTATTATTCCAAAATGAAACCTTCATCTGGTTATAGCAGATGCTGATTATACCAGCAAAAATGTCTTTCTATAAAAAATTCAGCTCCAAATCCTTCCTCCCTGCTCTCCTGTGGGGAGACGGGCAGGGGATGAAGACAAGCTTTTCCTTCCTCCTGTGCCTTATCTGTTTGCCCTCCCTGCTCTCTGTTTTCTTTACTCATTGAGGAGGCATAGGGGAGGATAATTCAAGTCATTGATCTTAGATTCTCACTCCCAAGCACCCCTCCAGTGCCTATTAACACCTTTGCTACCTAAGATCAGAGCATCCCTCCCACACCCACCACTGCCCATTTGTCAGGTCCCCTCCCACTTCCCCCCAAAACAGCCCTGTGTCTCAGCTCTAACTGGTCACAATTTGTCTTTATTTGTATTGTTTTTGCATAGGCATATGTATTTTAACAGGTACACAGGTGGCGCTGTGGTCTAAACCACTGAGCCTCTTGAGCTTGCCGATCAGAAGGTCAGTGGTTCAAATCCCTGCAATGGGGGTAAGCGACCGTTGCTCTGTCCCAGCTCCTGTCAACTTAGCAGTTTGAAAGCACATCAGTGCAAGGAAATAGGTCCCACTGTGGCAGGAAGGTAAACGGCGTTTCCATGCACTCTGGTGTCCGTCACAGTGTCCCATTGCACCAGAAGCGGTTTAGTCCTGCTGGCCACATGACACAGAAAGCTGGCTGTGGACAAATGCTGGCTCCCTTGGCCTGAAAGCGAGATGAGCTCCGCAACCCCATGGCCACCTTTGATTGGACTTAACCATCCAGGGGTCCTTTACCTTTTACCTTTATGTATTTTAAGAGTACAAACATGTCAGACAGCAACCTGATGACCTCCAGATGTTTTAGAGACTGTAACTTCCATCAGCCCCAGCATCGTACGGCTGCCATGGGGCCGATGGGAGTTGTATGAGGAGGGCACCAGGCAGGGAAAATCTGGCATTGGTTCAAAGCAACTACATGTGTGCAGTGTTTTTCTAAAAAAAAATGTTTAGGGGCACAGTGGTACCTCGGGTTACATACGTTTCAGGTTACATATGCTTCAGGTTACAGACTCCGCTAACCCAGAAATATTACTTCGGGTTAAGAACTTTGCTTCAGGATGAGAACAGAAATCGTGCTCCAGCAGTGCAACGGCAGCGGGAGGCCCCATTAGCTAAAGTGGTGTCTCAGGTTAAGAACAGTTTCAGGTTAAGAATGGACCTCCAGAATGAATTAAGTACTTAACCCAAGGTACCACTGTACTCTTCATTTTGACTCAAGAAAATCACCATTTTAGTTCAAATCGGGGAAAATAAATACAGTAAATGGACAAAAGTACAAAGATTCACAAAATGTTTAGGAGTATGCGTACCCCTTCATCCCCCCAGAAAAAAGCACTGCATGCATGTATGTGAAGCTACAGCCTATTGGGACATCTGCTTAGAGGTGCCAGAAGATGCTTTTATGATTTTGCTACAGCAGGCAAAAGTTGAAGTTGTTACAAAGGAACAAAGGAAGCCTTCTGTAACAAATCAAGTGATTGGTCCATCTGCCTCAATATTGCGAACACTGACTGGCAGCAGATCTCTAGGTTTCAAACAGGAGTCTTTCCGTTCCGCCTCAGCCTTACCTGGAGATGTCCTCAGGGGTTTCACCTAAGGCCATCTGCCTGATGCTCCACTACTGAGCTTTGCCCTTTCTTTTGGAGATCAGGAAAATATACCCCTGTCCAATACTTTGCACAGCAGCTGCCAGTCAGAGAAGACAGCACTGGGTTAGATGGACCAGTCAGCTCCAGATGCTCTTGATCTAGGAACAAAGTGCGCATTTGCAAGCTTGAAGGATGAAGGGGAAGTTTGGCGTCAACACTTTCACTCCTGCCAAAGGGAGCAAATGGGTTCTAAATGAGAGGGGAATTGCAGCCGGGTAACAAGGGGGCGGGATGCTAAGTCCTGGTTAGAAGCAGGTTGAAACTGGTGGGACAGCCAGCTCTCTCCAAACCCACAAAGGAGCTTTGGAGACTCGTTGGGGTGTAAGAGATTGTGGTAGACACAAGGCTGTGGGGGGGCAACTTGTCCTCTGCCCACAGGAAAACCTGTTTGGGTTGCGCTCATTCAGACTGTGGGTGGGTCATGTTCTGCTCACTGAAAGCTAGCATGTCAGGGAAGACACCTTTCTCTCCGGCATGCAACTTTTCTAAGTTAAGTGAATGGATTTTGTGTGGCGGAGGGGTCAATTCAGCAGTGGAGGCCAGTCCATTGTGGTGAATGGGATGCTGCTCCACCAGTCGTTCCCACCTGCCTGTCTGCTTAAGGTAAAGGTACCCCTGCCTGTACGGGCCAGTCTTGCCAGACTCTAGGGTTGTGCGCTCATCTCACTCTATAGGCCGGGAGCCAGCGCTGTCCACAGACACTTCCAGGTCACGTGGCCAGCGTGACAAGCTGCATCTGGCGAGCCAGCGCAGCACACGGAACGCTGTTTACCTTCCCGCTGGTAAGCGGTCCCTATTTATCTACTTGCACCCGGGGGTGCTTTCGAACTGCTAGGTTGGCAGGCGCTGGGACTGAACGATGGGAGCGCACCCCGCCGCGGGGATTCGAACCGCCGACCATGCGATCGGCAAGTCCTAGGCGCTGAGGCTTTTACCCACAGCGCCACCCGCGTCCCTGTCTGCTTGCATGCAACCAAATCGTGGGCAGTGCTGGCATCGTATCCCATTCTGCCCTGTACCTGTCGCATGCAGCACCTTTTCCTTTCTGCTGCATTCATCTTCCTCCGAAAACTCCGCCGTTCATCTCACTGTCCCGACATCACGCTGAGAATTAACACCTTATGGAACTAACTATACTGCACAACTAATGATGTTGCAAAGCCACATTAAGATCGCTTATCGCCGTACATTCCACTGGCCACCACAGACCTTTTTTATATATATATACATTTTAAAATTCATTCATACCTACGTGATAGAAAACAAGTGTTGTTTATTGAGACATTCAGGCATTCCTTTGTATGTCAAGAAAGCACTGAACAGGCCTCAGACGCTGTCTCCCTGGGAACCCTGCCCTGTGAAACACCTGCATGCCTCTCTTGTCCCCTTTGAGCTGCATCTTCCCAAGGGAGCTAAGGTGGAACGCCAGAATTTAAAGGGGGTGCAACAAGGCGCCAGTGTCCAAAATGAAGTAGGAAATCTGGTTTGGGTAAGGGGGGGCTGCACAGCTCCCTCCCCTCCTGGCATGGGTGAAAACAGCAGCAGCTGAGGCTTTCTTGCCGGTGGAGGAAGAGCCCAGGGTCCCAGACAGCTGCAGGGAGGGGAGGAGGGGTCGGTAGGAAAAAGGAAGAAATCTTTGCTTATCTCCGCAAGGAACCTCAATGACACGGCTGGCCCAGATGTCTGGCAGGAGGCAGAGATACCTCCAGCTTCACCCGAGGTTGCTGTGGTGATGGGGGCACAGCTTGGAGCAGAAAGCAGGGTGGTTGGTGGGGAGAATTACCTTCAGAAGAGGCTGCTGCTGAGCTCAGGTTCTGGGGGGCTTTGCCATTTGCAGACAATAAATGGCTTTATTTGCCCGTCTTATCAATAGGGGGGGGCTATTTCATCAGTTCAAGGGCTGTTTGTAGCAGCTGCACCTCCTTGCCAGGACAGAGCAGCCTCTGTAAAATAGGGTACAGTGATGATGGTAGGAGAGAGTGAGAGTGTGCATGTGTGTCTTAGCAGCAAGGCCCAGCTGGGGAAGCCTACAAAAGGGAATCAATCAACTAGTGATTGTGCATTTGTCTTTCAGCTTGCAGCGATGGTCTTTAGAGGCAGATGCAGCTACCTACAATCTCAGCTAATTGCATGGCTCCTCAGTTGCTCATACTCCCATCTGTGCAAATAATAAAACCGGAGCACGCGGCTGTAATTGGGTCCCATGTTTTCCTCCCCGCCCTTGGGCATTAAGTTCTGCTTGCAGGTTTCCTGCGGACGTCTGGGTGGCCACTGCGAGAACAGGATGCTGGACTAGAAGAGCCACTGGCCTGATCCAGCAGGGTCTTCTTCTTTCAGTGAAAGCAGTTTGCCATGCTTTATTGCACCTCTGATCTAAGTTCCCACTGGTTAAATCTTCCCAAGACGTAGCCAATATCACCCCTTTCTCATGACCAACTAAAGCAGGTGTGGGCAATGCTTGGCTGTCCAGAGGCTGCTGATTGGCCAAAGGCTGCTTTCTGGGGCGGATGGAAGGCCAAAGGTTCCCCACACCTGCACTAAAGCCTTGTTTTGCAAATCCTTATTCTCATCCTTATCTTCTGCTTTGCTCTGATCCGTGATCTTTAACATGCTGCGAATGTAACTGCTGTGCTTTTGTCGTTCCTGGGAAAATAAAATAATAAATAATAAAAGCACCGGGCAAGGGATAGGAAAACACTGTTCCTTACAGAAGGAAGGACTTGCAGAGTAGGCATGAAGTAACATTTCTGCTGAATCTGCATGAGGGCATTTTAAGGGCTGAAGGATGGGGTATGAATTTTGCAAAATAAGTACTTCTATTTCCTTCACCCCCCCTTTGACTCCAATCAATGGCTTTCCCCACCTGGTTGCTGCAATAGGGGTGCGAAGGGACATAAGGGCTTTGCACCCCAGCCTGGGAGGGACCAAATGGGAGACTCCTACTGCAGGCACTGCAGCGGGTCATATTGTAAAGGGCACCTGTCTAAAGCCTGCCTTTCTTCTCCAGCGTGTGTCATTCGTTTTGTCTGGTATGTATTAGGTAGGAAACAAGTCTCCAGTCTGTTCCTTTACCAGCTCTTTGCAATATTTGAGGGCCCAGGTGGAAAACAGTACAAGACATTCCTCACTTGCTGAAGCCTCTGACGAGTGTCCAGGGTGGAATGGGCCAGCAAACCTCTCTGCATCGCTTTTGAGGTCCATGAAAGGAGGCGAGGCAGAAACACATATAAACAAAATGATAGATCATAATCATGCCCGTGACCCAGTGAATTAAAATATAAATATGTACCCAAATTCTGGCTAAGCGTCACCACCTCACGATGCTGAAGTCATAGCTAGGCCCTGACATACCATTAGAACTTGTTTGCACTAAAAAAAAATCAGTCTGTGGAACTAGTCCACAAGGGCACTATGACCACCAGACAGAACCCAGTTAGTTCTACCACAGCCTGACATTATCAGTCTGCGGTAACGAAGAACTGGGTCTTCATTGGTGGCTGTAGTGTGGTTGGAATGCCCTCCCTGCTGAAATACACCACCTCCATCCACATTTGCATGTCACTGGCTCCTGAAGACACATCTGTTTAGGGAAGCCTGCCCTTGCACTTCTGATGTTACTTAATTGTAATGCTTTTAAAATTAAGGATGTTTTAATGCTTTGACGAAATGGTTATTGGGTATTTCAAATGTGCATGGATCTCAGAATTGATTTTATAGATAGCTCAGTTGGCTAGAGCGTGACTCTGATAACACCAAGGCTGCAGGTTCGATCCCTGTATGGGACAGCTGTGCATTCCTGTACAGTGGTACCTTGGTTCTAGAATTTAATCCATAATGAGAGTCCGTTTGACTCCCGAAACAGTTCAAAAACCAAGGCACAGCTTCCAATTGGCTGCAGGAGCTTCCTGCACTCAATCGGAAGCCCCGTCGGACATGCGGCTTCCAAAAAACGTTTGCAAACCGGAACACTCACTTCTGGGTTTGCGGCATTCGGGAGCCGATTTGTTCGGGAGCCAAGCTGTTCTGACTACCAAGGTACCACCTTATTGCAGGAGGTTGGAGTAAATGAACTTCAGGGTCCCTTCCAATGCTGATTCTTTCACAAAAACTGCTCAGAAGCCATCTGGCATTTAAGCAGTATATAAACTAATGAATAACGAGTAATTCTCTGCTGACGTGAACCTATGGGAGGTCCCCGTTCCTCCTTGGAAAATAACAAAGCAGGAGTTGCTGTTTATCTATTTTTCTGGAAAGACAGATGTAGCACTGCATGATTTCACGTCTCCCTATCACTTTGCACACACAAGCTGTTTATTTCCTCTCCACTCCCCCGAGCCCACCTGCTTCAAGGCAAGCCAACTCTCAGCCACTTCAAACATTTTCCTTATTTAGTATGGGGCACAGGTGAGGGTCTTGTTTTCGTCCACCTTAACAGCATGATTGAATCGGCCGCTCTGCAGGAAGCATCCGTCTGGAGGTTGAAGTCTCTCTGCACAATTCTATAGAAAAAGGGGTGGGTGGGGGAGGGCCCACTTCCCTTCTCGGGGATGGTCCCTCTGGGAACGGCTGCAAAGTGTTGTCACTGTCTTAATCAAAACTGAGGAAGAGATTATTTTTTCCTAACGTTTCTTAGATGCTTGCAGCAGCTGCAAGGGTCAACTCAGTTTGCCACGCTAGAACACTTGCTGGGGAGTCCTCAGAGACAAAGCCTCTTTTCCTGTTATTTTGGCTTGATGTTGAAGTTTATTATTTATTTTTCAAGAAAGAGAAATGGCAGCAAAAAGGGGAGAGTATATTTTGAGTCCCAAATTTCCCCTAAATTCTATTGAGCTCTGCTGTTATTGAGAGACTGCACAGTCAGCTGTGTTTAGACTGCAAAAGGCCTCCTTGTCCAGAGTTTTTTGTTTTTTTTAATGGGTTGGAACAGTAGCTTCTTAAAATACACCACCACCCCAAACTATTGGAAATTGCCAAGTGCTGGAAGACATCATTCCTGCAACCCTTTCTGAGAGACCCATTTCACTGGGAGAATAACACACTGACCTGTGTGATCGTTCAGCAACCCCATAAAACCTGTCTTGAAGCGAGGCTGTAAACGCCAGCTTTATTAATGCAACTGTGCTCTAGCTAATGCTTTTGGTCTCATCTCTTCTTATAAAGGACAGAACTGGTTACATTCTTTAAAAGGACAGAGCAGTACCTCAGAGAACTGGTAATCTAGCAAAGCGCTTGGGTCTCAGACTCAACAATGTGGAGGCAGCCGATTTGCAAGCAAGGGTTAGCCAAGCTTGGCCAGAAAGATGCCACCTGATGCAGGCGCAGCAGTTTCCCCAAGGACTTAAACCCTGGGTTACTCCCAGACATCTCACCTTTAACTGAAGATACCAGGACCATATGCACGAACTCTACTGCTGAGCTGTGGCCCCTCTTTATGATCACAGAACTAAAGTGGCAGGAGCTCTTTCTCCCTGTAATACACAGAAGAGTGTTAAAGGCTCCCTGACCCCCCCCTCCCCAAGGCATCCTAAAAGAGAGAATCTGCTCATTCAAGCTTATTGCTGCCATGCTGAAGATGGTATGACACGATACCTAAGGTTTAACGCTGATCAACGTCTCCATGGTATCAGCACAAGTTTAAAGACCTACTGACGCTCAGCCCCAAGCCCTTTTTTGGGTTGAGCTACACACCACTGTCAGCAGAGGGTTGCTCTCCCACTACTGCACAAGGAACGCTTTCTGGCTGTGAGGCTTGTAGTTTGTGGCTTCTTTCTGTAAAGAGACACCCACAGGTGACAAAGTGGCAGGGTTGCCCTTGTGCCAGCAGCACGTTTTAGAAGCTCCACTGTACTTCTTCGTAACAAGCACAACCCACCACATATCTTAAGCTTAAAGAGGCCACAGATCAATCCTTTGCACCAAGCAATGCATTGGGTTTTGTGCTATTATTATTATTATTATTACTACTATTACAGGTTGTTGTTTTTTCCAAAATATTTATAAACAAAAGGCTAATAACCTTCAACAGCACTTCTGTTACATATGTAAAAAAAAGGGCTTAAGAACAAGTTGTACTCCAATGCACACTAATACAATACAGTGTCTAATGTCCTCAGCCACACTTCTCTACACATCACTCTGGGATTTCCCAGGGAACCGACTTCACACGGGTGTTGGAATCCAATTGGCTGGTCAGTCTCCCCTCGTGATCAGGTCCTCGATGTATGCATCCAGTTCGTCATCTGTACTGAAATCAATGTCCTGAAACCAGCAAAGGGAAATATAGTTCAATGCCTATGAGAAAGCATTTGATACAGTAGGGTGACTACTTGCTAGCTGGGGCTGATGTGAGTTGTAGCTGAAAACATCTGGGGGACACCAGTTTAAAAACATGCTCAGATTTTTGAGATTCTGCAGAATCTGCAAGATTCTGTCTGTTCTATTTTTGTGATTAAGAAATTTGTTTCTATACTCATACATTTCCTTGTAGCCAGAAGGAAGGGGGAAATAACAAGAACATATGTAGAATAGCAATATAAGTATGTGTTCTGTACAGCAGAGTAGATGCAACAAAACTTCTTGGATAATTTACATTTAAATAAAAAAGTCATAATGAAAAAACATTTCCAGTTTTTTGCAATTCTGGCTGGGGCCTCACTCACCTCTTGGACTTTTTTGAGCAGTGATACTATGTTAGTCCTTAGCTTCTGGAGTTTCTCTTTTGTCTCTACGAGCTTCTGTTCTTGGACGTGAAGCTTCTCCTCAGAGGCTTTGGCCTGGGCATTAGCTTGAGTCTGGTAGGAGTTGCATAAATTTTTCAGCCCCTTCTCGTACTGCTTGAAATATTCTTTCTGCAGGGAGGCAAGACACAAGAGAGTCGGTTCTAGGAGCATTCAAGAAAAGCCACATGTATTGTTGCAGTATGTCCTTATGCAGTGGGAGGCCACACTCACACCATACATTTAAAGCAGTATCATACCACTTTAAAGTGTCATGGCTTCCCCCCAAAGCATCCTGGGAACTGTAGTTTGTTAAAGGGTGCCGAGAGTTGTGAGATCCCTGTTCCCCTCAGAGAGGTACAATTCCTAGAGAGATTTAACAATCACTATCTCTTCCCAGAGAACTCTGGGAAATGTAGGTCTGTGAAGAGGAGTAACAGTGTGGATGTAGCCAAAGTGTCTATTTCCTTCCCTCACCCTCACTTGTGGCAGAGTGCCACAAGGCTCTTGTCTGGGGATGTAGATACACTGCAATCTTTTGCTGCGAAATTGTGTCTGTCTGTCTTTCTTACTTTCTCTTAAATAATATCCATGTTTGCCAGAAGGCAAAAAAAATAATAATTGGAGTTAAACTGTCAATTTGACAGTGGAAGCCTCTGCATTTGCTATTAAGTAAGAGCTGCCTTCCACCCCTGCAGTCTGCTGCCCTCTGCTGGCTAAAAAGTGTCTGGAAAAAGACAAGAGCTGTTCACATCCCAAAAGGGTCTCATTTATCTTAAAACGCTTGCACAAAAGGTGTCAGGCAATCCTTTTCTCTCCCCTTTGTGGCACATTCAAATTATAATCTGAGGTTTTGGCTCCTAATTTAGGCACTTTATATACATTATAAAAGGTTACAATTATGGATTGTGGTATCATAACCACTGGCTCCAGAAAATGTCTCACTAAAGCCAGTGCACTGAGTTAAAAGGGTAGCAATCTGCCCCTCTAAAAACTGGCAGCTGGCAAAGTATAGAGGAGTGGTTCTCAAAGTTTGTGGTACCACCCCCTGGAGACGTTTACCTAGGTGGGCACTAATGAGACAACGGGGAGGCATGGGGGTGCTGGAGGTGCTCCCCCTAAGTGCATTGAATGCTTATTTGCAATTGAGCAGGCTAGAGCCTAGAGCAAACACCTTCCTTGCTTCATATTTAAAGTTTTATTGCTCATCACTTTCAAAGCTATTTCCTTTGGTTACGTTTATATTTACAATTCTGTATTGTCAGAAGACAGCTATTGGTTTTCATATAAATTAGTTACTGTGCATCTGTGGTAGGTGAGGGTTTGTGCATGTCTGGTAAACTGAGTTATGTATGGATATTTTATGTTATAAATTTCCTTCAATGTTATGTTTTCAACAGCAGGAATGTGTAACTATTCTTTGCTGGATTTTATTTTGTGATTGTCTTCCTCAGTGGGTCGTGCAAACTGCTATTCTGAATAATGCTTTTTTATAGGGTTGGGTAGTGGGCACTGGAGATGAGTTCATGGAACCAAGTGGGCTGTGCCCCCCCCCCCAAAAAAAACAGGGAACTGGTGCAGAAGCTAGGAATGTAGCAAGAGCAGCCACCAGCTCAGGTCTTGCCTCCACTTGTAAGCACAGGACTTACCAGAGGGAAAGCTGCCAACTCTTCCAAATTCATGGCACTCAGGTCATTCTTGGAGATGGGGAAATTTGGGGGCAAGAAGTACCGCAAGCAATTCCTGCCCAAACAAAAACAAGCATGCTAAGAAGAGCAAGGCTGTGTGTGCATTACAATTTGGAGAACACAGAATATTTTACAGAGTACAGAGTTCATCTTCTTGAACAGCTTATTCTCCCCGCCTCCCTTTTCATTAATACAGCGAGTTTCTACTCCTTGTGATTCTGAAGATATGCTTCCAAAGTTGGTGGGGGCAATGCCTGGTGGAACCACAACGAAGGCAGAATAAATTATGCAAAGTTGCTCAATTTGCATTGGCACAGGCTGCGGCGTTTAGATTGCTCAGGCACAGAATATTAACACTTTGGGCATTTTCTCTGTCCCAACAGAAGAAACTCCACAG